CAAAGCATATCAAAAGAATAATTCTAACGAAAAAGATAAGGCTGACTAGTGACTAAACTTGCAACAGTCAACAGCTTCACTTTCATCATATCTATATATAAGGCTCTTCAAAAGAGCACTTTACCACCAATAAAAACTAGTTTTTTAATAAACTCTAGTAACTATAGCATCCAAAATTTCAAACCCCACCAACAATAAAAGATAAAAAATGTCATTTTCTTATACTAAAAATTGTGAGTTCTTCTCCAATGATCATCTCCTTCCTTCTCTCGGAACAAGAATCAACCATGATACAAAGCTTCGAAAATATATCATTTCGCCCTTCGATCCTCGTTACAGGTAATGGTTAATAACCCTTTTTTCCCACCTCATTTATTTATAAATATATATGTAAAAGATTGACTATACAATCTCAACCCGTAGTTGCAAAAGTGCAATGTATTCGATAGTGAGAGGAACATAAGCGTCAAATTTAAATCCTCTTTTTCAGGATATATACTACTAGCACTGTTTAACAGAAAAGCTCATATTTTACAGGGCTTGGGAGATGTTTCTACTGATTCTTGTCATATATACGGCCTGGATTACGCCTTTCGAGTTTGCATTTCTGAAATACAAAATAGATGGCTTTGTCATATTTGACAACATTGTCAACTGCTTGTTTGCTATTGACATTTTCCTTACCTTTTTCATGGCTTATCTTCATCCAGAATCCTATATTCTTGTAGATGATCCCAAGAAGATAGCGATAAGGTATATATGCAACTTTCAAATATTCTCTTTCTGCGACTCGTTCTAATACATGGTTAACTACAGGTATTTATCGACCTGGTTCATGTTTGATGTTTGTTCCACTGTGCCATTTCATGCTTTCCTCTTTATTGATCACAAAAAAAGTGATGGAGTTGGATTCAAATTGCTCAGTATGCTCAGACTTTGGCGTCTTAGAAGAGTTAGTGCCTTGTTTGCAAGGTTGGTTCCAACACCATATATACTATACTGGTAGTGATTTACATTGCACTAATAATATATATATATATATATATAAAATCACTATCAGTATATTTAACTTAAATAATTAGTGATTTACACAAATAGGATCATTTGGTGCCACCATGTAAATTTTGACCCCGATAAAAATGAAGTTGGGAAAATAGTCTCCCGTCAGAATTTTTTGGGCAAGTCTTATGGTGATTCATCAGAATTCTGACATTTGCCATAATTTTGCAAGCTATGGTGATCGTCATAAAATTCTAACGGTTGCTTTCACAAAAAATTTTGACCAGCGTGCTTGAAAATTCTGGTGTGGAATTATTTTCATAGAACTTTCCTTGATGTTTACATAATGTAAACGGTAGTTTAAAAAGGTCCGTCCAGCGTAATTTCTTCTTAAAATATTCTTAATGCTTTGCATATTGCACCAAATTCTCATGCTTGCACATTGAACCATATTCTCACATAAAGCCAGTTTTTGCTTTCCTTCAGACTTGAAAAGGACATCCGTTTTAACTATTTTTGGACGCGATATGCAAAATTGATCTCTGTAAGTTACTGTTATAATGTAAGCATAGGGTCCTAAAGGTCAAGTCTGTATATTAATTCATTACTAAAGAATATGCATTTCTTTTGTTTCAGGTAACTTTATTTGCAGTGCATTGTGCTGGATGCTTTAACTATGTGATTGCAGATAGATATCCTGATACTAAAAAGACATGGATTGGTGCATCAAATCCCAATTTCAAAGAAGAAAGTCTATGGGACAGATATATAACTTCACTTTATTGGTCTATTGTAACACTAACAACAACTGGTTATGGAGATTTACATGCTGAAAATACAAGAGAGATGCTCTTTGATATCTTTTACATGTTATTCAACTTAGGATTGACATCTTATATCATTGGAAACATGACAAATCTCGTTGTTCACAAGACCGGCTACACCAGAAATTTCGTATGCTCTCTCTCTCTCTTTAGCACGTATTATAACATGTTAAAATATACTGATAGTGCAAAAATTAATATTAAACTTTGTGATTTTGTTGTGTAGAGGGATAAAGTTGAAGCAGCTCAAGAATTTGCAAAACGGAATCAGTTGTCCCCGCGGATACAAGATCAGATTCTGTCTCATATCTGTCTAAAGTTCAAAACTGAAGCATTACAACAAGATGAGACATTGAATGTCCTGCCAAAATCCATCAAAACAAGCATTGCAAATTACCTGTTTATCCCAATAGTTCAAAATATCAGTCTGTTCCAAGGTGTTTCCAGGGACATGCTCTTCCAACTGGTAATTTCTGTTCTACACCCCCCNTATTAACTGTTATGTACAGAGTTTAATTTCTATATATTAAGTGGTCGTTTGGTTGGGAAACAAGTATCCCACTATTAGTTATTCCGGATTGTTATTCCATTCTCCATAGGGATAAAAATAACACTACAATCCTGGGATTAATTATCTCTCATCCCTCGTATCAAACGAGCCCTAACAGTGTAAAAGATATTTACACTATTAGGTCAACAAAAATATAACTATAGATAATTGTCAATAAAAAAAATGGGATTAGTAACCTTAAAAACAAAGCAAATTACCTAGTAAAACGGATTAAATGCATTGATAGTGCAAAAATTATTTATATTTTCAGTCTATATAAGTTAAATCATTTTATTCCTGTTTTAAGGTTCCTGAAATGGAAGCTGAGTACTTCCCTCCCAAGGAAGATGTGATTCTACAAAATGAGGCTCCAACAGAATTGTATATAATAGTCACTGGAACAGTGGTAAGTTAATAAATTGTGAATAATTACTTCAACTCTAGGATTTGCAGCTCATATTATTAATCAGTTATGTATTATTGTAGGATTTGCTAGCAGATATCAATGGAAATGAACAAGTATAACACTCAACAACATTATGTTCATTTTAAATATAGAATTCAAATACTTTATCCTAATATTATTTTTTTCTGAAATCTGTCCGCGAACAGATCATTGGAAAAGCCGTTGCTGGAGAATCATTTGGAGAAATAGGGGTTTTATTTGGAAGACCACAACCATATGCTGTTAGAACAACACAGCTTTCTCAAATTATACGCCTGAAGACGACAACGTTTTTGAACATTATTCGAGCAAATCCAGAAGATGAACAGATTATAATGAAGAATCTTGTTCTGGTGAGTGTAAAAAGATATGAATGAATGAATGAATGGTTTTCAGTCAACTTCTCCTTGGTTTTTCTTTTTTTTTCTACATATAATATCAATTATTTTCTTTTTTCTTAAAAATAGAAGCTGCAAAGTTTTGGAGGCTTTGATTTTGTGGACCAAGAAAGTGAGCAAAATTTAGTCTTCAACGACTCGTTAAATGTTGGACAAAAAGATGAATGCTGCTCTCGTGTTTTACAACAAGATACACCTCTGGTTAGCATAAATATCCAAAATTTAGAAGCTAGAGTTAAGAAACAAGTAGAAAATGAAGGTGACAGTAATGAAGATCATCAACTCGACGCAAAAGGGTGGATAGCAATAACTCAAGCAGAACATGAAGGAAACAAAAGCATGCATGAGTTGTTATCAAATCTTGAAAATGACAGTGAGTTAAATGAGAAGAAAGGTAATTTCATTAGATTAGATGAAGAAATAAGTAGTAGTCAATTCAAGAATTCAAGAAATGAGGTCCCCTGCTGTTCTTATTCAAGCAATAGAAGATCTACTTCCACAAGCTGTATTGGTGCAAAAGGGACAAAATCAACAAAGAAGAGAGTTACCATTCACATGAAAAAGAATAATTCATTGAAGGAGCATTATGGGAAGCTAATAATACTACCTGATACACTTGAAGAGCTATTCAAAATAGCAGGTGAGCTTTTATTTCACCTTTCAATATATCTTCAGATAACCTAGAAAGTTAAGTAACCTAATTACTTATTTTCTATAGGCTAGCTAAATTTGCACCTCCATTATTTCACATGTACCTGTTATCTCCCACCAGTACATGTACCGAGTAACTCTACCTACCAAGGCTTAGGCAGATGAAAAGAAATCACGTAATAGTTTTTTTTCTCATAGCTCTTCATTCAGATTTGAATTCTGTTATCCATGATTTTTACCCACTAACATGACTGAGCCCAAGAACTTATCCAAAAAATGGGAAATGATTTTGTTCCCTTTTTTTTATTTTTTATGTAGGGGGTGGGGGGATTAGGATTAGGACTAAATCATTTCACTATGAAGTACTCCTTCATTATACTATTGGTCAAGTAACTAACCTAGCAATTTGTGTAAATGCAGGTGAGAGATTTGGGGACTACAATCTCAAGAAAGTTGTAAATGCAGAAAATGTAGAAATAGATGAGCTAGATGTCATTAGAGATGGTGATCATTTGTATCTTCTTTCAACTAATGTGACGTGATAATTAATTGCAAAAGGCTGATGTTCATATATTGATCTTGTTACATAAAGGCAACATGAATCAGTCATGGTACCTCCAAAGGGAGAAATAAATTTTAAGTATCACTTAAAAATTACAAGACTGTCTGCAAATTACTACTGGAGGATGACAATCTATCCAGTTGTTCCATTGAAAAACTACAACACTAACACCTTATAAGATCGTAGCCATTTCGAGTGCTCTACAGAATAAAGATGAACATAGAAATTTAACCCCCCCACTCCCCCAACCAATGAGCTTCAGATGAAACTTCAGCCACCAACATTTAATTTAATATCGTGATTCGTGGTTAGGCTTCTATTGGTTCCACTTTTTCAACTCTCATTCTAATTCCATATGAGATCATCAATTGTATGTGTTTTTTTAGATCTCCACTGTTATCAAATCATTCTTGCAATCAAAGCATCACTAACTTCTTGGATGAGCTTCTGTTTTGAATACAAACTCATTCAAAGGAAAATAGAATTCCCTTGGCTTGAAGAGAACTAGATAACAAAAGGCCATAACATATTTATCTTAAGGTAACAGGCACATCTAGGGGATTTTTAAGAATTTCGTCAGACACAATATTGCATAGAAAGTAACTCTAGCCTTTCCATGGAAAACGTATCTTTTCGACCATACGTGAATCTTAGACCTCGCCAGAAAACAATCCATCCCATCCTAGGGAATTTCCAAGCAACATAAAGGGATTGACCATTTGTCTATGACTCATAATGCTCTAATAATTTAACATGCTACACCGGGCAATCCAATCCACAAATTCTAGAACAGTTGGAAGTAAACATTGCCCATAATAGAGAAATGGGTAACAAGCGTAACAATAGAGCTTTCTTATAGGCGGCTGATAACAGTTTCCACCTCAGCAGGCGAGTAGAGATGATAAGTTGGAGATACCCTCGCAATATCAACGTTATTGGGAGTCACCTGGAATCGAACAACAGGTGATTTTCAGTTAATAGTAGTAGAGTACACAGATCAGAATAAAGATACAGTATTATCGTGGAGCTTACCTTCTCTTCCATCACTTGCTTTAGAATTGACAGTGCAATCGTTTCAGCCTCCTTAAGGGTGAGATCCTGTAGAATAGCAAATAATGCACTTCAAAAACCATATCAAGCCAATTATCCAGAAATAGCTGATCTACCACTCTAATTATAGTAGATTTTAGTTGATTATTTTTTCTTATATTTCCCGAAGGAAGGAGGTTTCGGGTTCGAGGTGGTTAATGGCATGAAATATCTAAAACCCATGAAGAATAGGCTAGCTCTACAAAAATATAACAGTTTAAGTAGAAAACAAAGTAGCTAATTCTTATACCTTGTTGAATTGCTCCTGCAAAGAGCTGTCAGCACCTTCTGAACCTGAACCAATGGCTTTTGCATTGCATTGCCAGAAAGTGCCAGAAGGATCAGTATAATATCTGCATATCAAACGGCATATTGTTAGTGGCAACAGGGTACCAGATGGTTACTAGGACGAATTTAAAGGATAACTGCAATCAGGATTTCAAGTTTTCAACTAATGGCTGAGCAGCCGACTAGCTCAAAACGACTATTTTCCCTTCATAGTATATTTAGAAAAATTCAGTACCCCATTTAATTCTTTTCTTTATAATGGGCCGCCCCTCTACCTTCCTTCTATTTAACTCTTGGAATAACATAAATTAATAGTTACAATTCTCATGTTTAAATAGGTATACCATAATAGGAGCATTCTATACCTACTTTTAGCATTACTAAAGCATTTTAGTGGCATCATTCATTTTCTGATTTCAGACTTTCTTTGATCTCATGATTCCCATGAAAGTAAATAACTAAGGCAAGTCGAATCCATGTCTGGATTAACACAAGCTCATTACTAGATGTTAAGCTGTCAGACGTATTTCCAGGCAACTCACAGCAGTCATCACTAGCGTTCATCTTTTACCAAAATATGAACTTCCTAATTAAGCAATATTGATTGGGAGAAATATTGCGAGAATATTCACATAAGGGAAAGCCGGAAACATCACCAAATGCTAAAATTAAGGCAATGAATCCTTTTGTCCTTTTCCAGAATAACTCAGGATCATTGATGAAAAGTTACAATTAAGACCAATTGACATGAACACAGACACACAATCACGTGCACACACAAATGAAGTTAAATGGAAAAAGGAAACTAAAAGAGAAAGAGGAAGCTTGGATCATGATTCTTGTGTGTAGATTGGATGACTAGCGAGATTTACTAGGTTGGAAACTATAGGTTGGCAAAGGGTTCAACTAGCAGGCAACCAACTGTTAATCAGCAGAAAATATCTAGGAGTGTATCTGATGCACAAACACAAAACAAGATGACAAACTAATAGATGATTGCGTGCAGCTTCATCAAGCACGATCAAACACAAAAAGAGAAGAAAACTTAGAATATAATGCAATACTTCCAACAATCTCACGGAAAGCAAATACTTACAGGCTCGGACCATTCTCATCATGGCCAGCAATGAGAAGTGATACACCAAAAGGTCTGGACTGCATAAAATCAAAGATAATGAATTTTAGTGGAAGACTTAAATCTTACTCTAGTCGAAACAGAAGAAACAAGGTGCCATCCATATATGTTGACGAGAAGTCAATTATTCTAGATAGCGTGCATTTTAACAGGATCCAGACCTTAGCTCACCTCGTTACTGTTTAAGATTTTTTCAAGAGAGAAAAAACAAAATGACAGAGACTATGTGTGAGCACTAGCAAAATGTTCTACGCGATGAATCAGATCCACTCACAGAAAACAACCATAACTAACCCGGTCCTCCACTCAGATTTATCATCTATAAATACATGTTATAAAGCAGAATTTTTTTTTCTGATCTCACATTCTTAATTTTTCTTTTTATTTTATTTACAAGATATCTAATATTCTTAGAATGTAGAAATTGGACAGAGGTTTTTTTTTTTTTTTTTTGATAAGTAATCAAATATTTTATAAATGCTTGCACTAAGTACAGATTGTGCAATTGGACAGAGAATATTTGTATCCATACACACCCAGCATAGACTATCTATACACACTAAAATGATCAAAAAACATCTTTCAAGACATTCTGTATACAGAACTATATTAGCCGAGGAAATACACCCAATAGTCTCTATAGTCACCATTAGTCTACCATAAAAGCAAATGCCAGCTTAAATGAAGATCTCTAGATCCATCAGTCAGCCTCTAGTTCTATCAGTACAATGCAGGGCTTCTGTATACAGAAGTCTAAAGCATTTCACGTACATTAAGATACCGAGACCCCACATATACAAGAGAACGGAGATGAGCAGTAAATTAATGACCTTCACAATAATTTAATAATTTTTTTGTCCAAGTAACAATATACAAAATCAACAGTATTCCATATACAGGCATTGTTACATGTACATGCATAGTGTCTTAATGAGACAGGTAGATGAGAAAACAGAGTAATCACAAATGATTCACCAGCCACATAAAATGAAACAGCTCAATCCAGTCAATAAAGTACGATTTTTACCCACTCAAGTAGCAACACTAACAAAATATCTAATAATACAAGTACATTTACGTCGTCAATCAAGCTCCTAAAGTTCAATCAAAATAAATGGGAAAAGCAAAATATTGAATGGCACATGCTTTTGACCAAAATTAGAAAGCAATGAATTGGGATTTTGAATGGTTCTGCTTGAAATATACCTGTCCCTAAGTAACAAGAGCGAAACTGCTAAGTAAAGAAAAAGTTCTTACCATAGACTCTTCATCACCCTCCCCAAATCGCAGGGCCAAATCACACAGAGCTTGTGTTGTGGACTCAACAGTCATGGGCTCACCATAAGAAAATCTGTGGTTCTATTGAAAAGGGGGAATACAGAATAAGCAAGCTTAGCCAGTTACCTTTTCCTTGCATAGAATGACTTGAATTTTAACGGTTTAACCTTTAGCTCTAAATACCTGAGTTTCAACTCGTGCATGTTCAACAAGAGTCCTTGCATCAGCTATCAATCCACTCATCGCACAGCCAATATGCTCATCAATTTCCATAATTTTCTCCACACTGCTTGGCTCCTGCAAGATCAAGAATATAAAATTGAGTTATGAATGACAATAAACACATATAAACTGAAGGATTAGCTAAAGAAAAAGAATTTCTTCAATTTGAAATGTAGTAAACTCACAAAAAGTTATAGCCAAGCAAGCTAAAAAGGTGAGCAAGAGGCAACAAACGGGACAGTAGTTCCTTCTCAAAATTCCTGATCTAAAACTTGCTCAGCCTTTTTTTTTTTTTGACATAGCCACTACCCTCTTTTGGTCATTAGTATCTAAAAAGCTCTTCTTAACGTTGTACCTAGCACTAGATAGTGTCTTTTGATTAAAGGGCATGGCATCACAAGAAAGTAGAGAATTCAAGTTTAGACCTACAGGTTAGTGTCCCCTCTCGACCAAAAATAAGGGTCCCACCTATGTAAGTCCCATGTTATTAAAGATATTTAGAGATAGGAAAAGGTCACATGGCAGGTAATCCGCTGACTGTGTACTACACCTCCATTTAAATTTCAAGCCAACATGCTATTTTCTCCAAAGATATGAAATCTTTGTTTGCAAATGTACAAGCACATTCATGGTTCATTCGCTGTGAATGGTCAATTTACAAAGAATACAAAAGGATTATTTTGCTACACATTAACTTCGAACAAAGAGAGCTTTTCCAATATTCGTGGTGAAAGGGAAAAGCTTTTTCAAACACACAAGTTCCTAAACATTTATTACTTCCTATTACATCAAACAGCACCAGTCCTTTATTTTCAGAATATCCCAATTTTTGCTTCTCAAGAGAAGAAAAAGACTCCAACTTCTTATCTTGCTACTCATATAATTGTTCAAATTATTTGACAAACTACATAGGCACATATTGGATTATGCCCCCCCCCCCCCCAAACCCCCACGTGTGCGACCTACAAGAAAATTTGGACCAGAAATTTTTACAGGGTAACCCACTGATGAAATCTCAGTTCTGCAATCCCAGTATAGTCCATGAAGAACTAAAATGTTCATAACACAATGATTAGTTACAACATTAAATCCGCAACATATATAACCCAATTGAGTATAAGTTCTATGAAGGTACAAAGAAAATTAAAAACCATCAGGTCACTTAAAAGGCAACTGCAGGTAATACTCTATACGAACTTTAATTAGTAACCTTAAAAAATGGGAAGATATCTCTATAATAGTTAAAAGTACACTGATAATGAAAGAAAATATTTACACTGCCAGTGTATATAACTTAAATCCAACCCAATTAACTTATGAAGCACAAAGCAGAAATTCATATTACAGGAAAAAAAGAAGAGTACAAACCAGAAGTGGAGAGGTAATCCGCTTCTCAACAGCAAGAACAACGCCTTCCTTAGTCTTTATCCCAATTGCCGTGGATCCCAACTTTATTACACCCACACAAGAAAACTTAATCCAAATTAAACCATTTAAATCATATAAATAAATCCATTTAATAATTCTAGCTTAATTTACCTTAATGGCTTCAATAGCATATTCAACTTGAAACAATCTTCCTTCAGGAGAGAATGTGTTCACACCTCTATCATACTCAGTTCTGGAGAAAAAGTAACAAAAAGAAAATAACAAAATCTTCAGAGATCTGAAAAGAAAATAACTGCATTGAGAAAAAACCCTAGATTAAGCCCAATAATGAAGTTTACCTTGTGAGAAACATCTTTGATCTGATTTGTTAGAGCTTCAGAAAAATAAAATCCTTAGCAGCTAAGAAGCGACTGTTTTGTTAGTCTTTTATTTTAGACAAGAGAGAATTGGTTTGTTCTATACTTGTTTTTACTTGACCGACAAGCCATTTCTGCAAAACCAAGGTAGCTTCGGACTTTGCCGGGTCGGATTTTCTCAACCCGTTTACTTAGAAGGGGAAAAGAGGTTTGGGCCCAAACTAAGTGTATTTGCGGGCGAAGTTTAGCAATAGCCGTTTTTAAGCCTGCTATTTAAAATATATTCATAATTTATAATGTATTTAAAGATTAGTCAATTCATCCAAACTTTATAACTAATGTCCTGAATTTTTGAGTTACTAATTTAAAATTCAGGACATAAGATTCGAACTTCTGGACACAATTTTCAAATTTTAAGACACGGTGTCCTGAAGTTTGAACTTTGAGGTTTAAACTCCAGGACGTCGTGTCCTGAAGTTTGAGCGAAATTAGATAATTATTAAATACATTATAAATTGAGAATATATTTTGAATAGCATGCTTAAAAATGGTTACATGGTGTCATTTCCACTGTATTTGCGTACAGTTTTCATTGGTTTATTATTTCAAAAGTCGAATACTACATCACATATTACATACTAATAATAATTCAAATAAGAAAATGCTACACATTATGTGGTTAATTAATTAAACTTATAGAAGTGTTGATAAAAAGTTAACCACATATTGGAAATAAACAAAAACATGACAGTGAAATTGAGTGAAAAAATTGAAATTATAGGTAATTTAATATCTCTTTTTTGTTATTGATCGATTATTTTTTTTACCGCTTTGATTAGGCGCTAATTATTTTATTTTGTTATTAGTTTGATATGTGAGTACCAATTTGCAAACAAAAAATTGAAAATAGTACTAATTCTTACACAAGTGAAACTGTGAAAGGACCGTCCTCTAATTTGATGATAATTCAGTTAAATTTTGTTGAATGAATCTGTAATCTTTACACATTGTACTATTGCAATCTATTATATGAGAGGGAAAAATAATGGGTCAATTACATTTGATCATATTATCACAAGTTCAAATATCTTAACAAGTCATCGTGGCAATTACCATCCCATTGATTTTCTTTATTCCTCAATAAATATGTGGAAAAATCAAAAAGACTTCAAATTATTTTAAAAATCCATTGTGTATCCCTATTTGGTCGTTGCCATTTATGATTACCTAATTTTCCAAATGAGTTAAGTGCACTTCCCCAAAATTATGACCTGTTATTGGGCCTCTATTTTTACACAAGTAGTTCTTTACTTATTGACGTCCTTTCGAACTCATTACCCCAATTAAAGATTGAAAAAATTAGATAGTATAGCCGATCCTAAAAATAATAGCTAGTAAAATATATATTTTTTGTATATTAATGTACAATATACATATTTTATGTATAATCAATATTTTTTTTTCTATATTTGGCTAGCGAATATAATTATTTTTTGTCGACCGGCTAAATATGCAACTTGCCTTCAGAGATTCCATTGCGACTAGGGTTGTTCCTTTGGATCGGATATCCGAAATTCGAACCGATCCGCTCAATTTCGGATTTCAAATATTTGGATCGGATTTCTGGATTGTGTTTATTAAAATTTCGGATATTCGGATTGGTATAATTGTAACCCGGTCCGATCCGAAATCCGAAATTATTAGGGTATGTATAAATGTTAAACTTTAATTTCGGATAGGCAATACTTCCTTTACATCTTCCTCCAAGTTATTACCTTTACAATTGTTGGATTTAGCTATATTGGCACCATAGTACTATCATAGTTGCAGAAACATGAATTTTTCTTACTGTATTGCCTCTTTTACAAAGAAAATATACATATGAGTTTGTAACTTTGAGGCATAATAATCCGATCCGAAATTCAAAAATCCGATTCGATCCAAACTTTAAAATCCGATCTGATCTGATATTAATTCGCATCGGATTCAGATTGCATTTTGTAGAATCCGAAATCCGAATCCGAAATATGCTAAATCCGATCTGATTCGATCCATGCATAACCCTAACTGTGACTAAGAGCTTGTTTGGCCAAGCTTATGGGAAACCAAAAGTATTTTTTTATCACAAAAAATACTTTTTTAGAAATTTAATGTATTTGCCAAGATGAAAAATTACTTTTGAGCAACAGCAGAAGTAACTTTTCTGCTTTTGGGAAGAAGCTACAAAATTTAGCTTCTTCCAAAAAGAAGAAACAGAAGCAGAAAATTAAATTTTTTAAAACAAAAGTATCTTTACTATAAATTTATATTTTTCAAATTATTCTTCAATAATTTTATTTATTTTTCCTTTTTCTTTTTTGTTTTTTCCATCCCTTTCTTTTTATTTATTTTATTTCTATTGTATTTTAGTTCTCCTTCTCCTATTCTTTTTTGAAATAGTCTCTCCATCATAAATAAATCTCTTTTTTAATATAGGATCAATGAAGTAGATTCTAATTTTATACTGAATGATTATATTTTGATATATTTAAATCATCAATGTAAACAATAAATAATACCGGATACCTAATATTATTGCTTTGGATACCTATTATATTGATTAAAATCTTTAATATATATTTTTATGTTATATTTTATATTCCAATTAAATAAAAAGAAAAATTAAATAACTTTTTTATAATAAAAATTTAAATTCATTTTTCTCTTTTAAATAATATACTACTTGTAAATTGATTATGTACTTTTTTTTTTTGTAATTTGACACTTAAAACTAATTTTTGAAAAGATTGTACAAACACAATTTGCTTATTAAAGTACTTCTCAAATGAACTGACCAAACACAAACGTAACTTTTCAAAAGTACTTTTAAGCAAAAACACTTCTCAAAATAAGTAGCTTTTGACAACTTTGTCAAACGGGCTCTAAGCCCGTATACTAAAATCCAGCATAAGAAAATGGGGCAAGTGCACAAATAGCTATTTTCATATGCTATTTAGAGATTAGTCATTACTTATTTTCTCCTGAAATTTTAAACTAAAAATCTAACTTCAGGACAATTCAGAATATTTTTGTCCTGAAAAATTAAACCGAAAAAACTAAAATTTAGAATGTACCGGTTAATTTCTAAATAAAATTTCAGATATCCAACAATATACAAAGTCCACGTAGCATCTCCCAAGATCTAATTAGACACTAGGGAGCATATCATTGAGGACTAATAAGAATCTAGGCCAACAACTTTCTAGTTTTTTTTAAAAAAAAAAAATTTAACTTTCTATTACATGGGGTAAAGGAGATGGGGAGGAAAAAAGAGACAATGAGACTTGAGCTGTTGAGCATGCCCTTATTGTGAGTGAGATTTCAAATATTGAATTATCTTTTGTGGTATTCTACCATCCAATTCAATCACCATATCTCTGAAAAATTCTATTGTGATAAAGAGATGTCGTATATTCTTCTCTTTTTTTTCCTTTGCCCACCATCTTTTTGTTTCCCAAATTCTCTCTTTCTCTCTCTACATTTTTCACGGTCGAACGAAATTTGCCTAGTGAAAGGATTTGCTCAATTCATGTAGAAAATATTGAAGTGTTGGTTGAGAAGAAATAAAAATTAGAGTTTGCGAAAAGAAACTTTGAACTCTATCTCTTCTACTTTATTGGGCAAGTATAACATACAATCATAAACCATGTGACACTGTTTAGATAAAATGGTCGCAAATCAAATAACAATGCACTGTGCTAACGTTTGCCCATATATTCTCAAATTTGTTTTGAAAAATCTGATTTAGGTGAAGTTTGGTTTGAACATAAAAATGTATTTGGACATTAGTTTTCAAAACATATTTCACTTTTACCCACAAGTTCTAAAAATATGACTTATACCCACAAGTTCTAAAAACTATCACAAATACCCAACAGTACCTTCATCAATAATATTGATTATGTTATTGCAAACCATAGTCCTGAACATAAATAAATTTGGTACAAAATTATCATTTTTATAATGAATTACATAATACACTATCAAATAACCGAAAAGACGAAGCAGTATTGTTATAATATAATAAACAGTGGGCTCTTTTATAAAATACAAAAATTTAGGGCAATTTTTAAAAAATATAATAGTAATATTTTCGACTAAAATTAACTCTTGAGCTGGTTTTGGAATTTTGGGGTTTGGATTTTGGGATTTGCCAAAATATGGATAAATTTTATGAACAAACATGTATTTATCAAAAAAACTTCAAATATATTTTGGTAAAATTTATGGCCAAATGAGTCCTATATTTGTGGAAAACCAACGGCCCTTAATTATGAAAACAAAAAAAGGAGTTAACATAAAGGTAAATAAAACATTACTTCTGCTACTCCAATTTTCAGTTTTTGCTTTTTCTATATTTCACGTCAGTATTCTATTCCTTTGATTTGATGAATAATCAACAACAACAACTCAGTATAATTTTACTAGTAGAGTTTAGGAGGATAGTTTGTACCCTAGGGTAGAGAGGCTGTTTCCGATTTGATGAATAGTCAACAACAACAACCAAGTATAATCCACTAGTGGAGTTTGGGGAGGGTAGTTTGTACCCTAGGGTAGAGAGGCTGTTTCCGATAGATCCTCGGGCTCTCTCCCTCCAAGAACTCTTCATCTTGCTCTTGGGGTGACTCGAACTCACAACCTTTTGATTGGAAGTGAAGGGTGTTCACCACTATAGCAACCCACTCTTGTCCACCCAAAAAGAAAATGAAAACGAAATAAAAGATTGAACCATAATTTATACCATCACTTCTTCTTTTCCTTGCTTCTAATTTATTCTAATTTTATGCGTAACTAAACCCCAAAAACAACACACTTCCTCTAGTCCTCTTATTCTGTCACTTCATATATTTTTATTTTGCATATTTAGAATCCTCTTTCTTGACAAGAGTGGGTTGCTCTAGTGGTGAGCACCCTCCACTTCCAATTAATAAGTTGTGAGTTCGATTCACCCCAAAAGCAAGGTGGGGAGTTCTTGGAGGGAGGAAGCCGAGGGTCTATCGGAAACAGTCTCTCTATCCCAGGATAAGGGTAAGGTCTGCGTACACACTACTCTCCCCAGACCCCACTAATGAAATAATACTGGGTTGTTGTTGTTGTATATTTAGAATCCCCTTTCACTAACTTATACCATTTTTTCGGCCATATTTTTCCGAAATAAAACTTGCATGAAATTTGTTTTAACTTCGATCACCCAAAACACAGGAGAAAATATAGTTTCCATTTCACAATTTTCTTTTCCATATTACATAAGTTTAAAAACAAAAGGACACTATTAACCATAATAAAATATCAAACAAAACGCACTCCACTTATTAATAATCCCACAAAATATCCCTTCACTTCTTCTCACTCCTCAAACGCAGAAACCGGGAAAGCCTTAGAAATTCCAGTAGGGGTAGCAAAAGTAATTTTCTGAAACTCCGGGTCCTGAATAGAAATATCAGAAATAGTAACCCAAATCAAAATCTCCTTACTTTTAACCCCGGTAAGTTTCTTCATCCGGCGATCTTCGATAAACGCCGTGACTTCAGTGTCGTACCACACGAGTTTCCCGATTTTCTTAAACCGGTGTTCTTTTGCCTTCTTCTGTTTCAGCCATACGAACCCGGTTTGATGATTTCGGCCCACCTCGATTAGATCGTCTAATGGAAGTAGCCCTTTTGGCATGTTGATTTGCTCGAGAAGTTCGAGAGATTTCTGCTTGCAGATCGCCGGGTCAGTGAATACCTCTGCGTTTTCTCGGTGATTTTCGCTCACTTGAGATGACATTTTCGTGAATGCAAATGAAAATGGAAAGGAAATGGGAATTGGATTCCTTTTACTTTGGGGTTATGTGTGAGAGAGAGTGGAAATGAGAAATATACGAAGGGAGTTTTTGTGTTGTTAGGGGGATCATGGGATTGATACGGTTTTGTAGGGAGAAGTGAGGGTGACGTTACGAAATTGCCCTTTGAATGGAGGTTTCAAGCGGAAATTTTGGTAAATATGTGGACTTCTTTTGAAATTTAAGAACTCTTTTTTTTTTTTAAAAAAAAAAAACTTTTATAAATTCAGAGTAAATTCAACTTAAGCTCTCATTTGTTTTTACTCAGATTAAGACGTATTAATCTGAATACACATCTGAATATTAATATGTGTATTAAGGTTAAAACGTCTAAATCTAAATTCACATATTAATATTAAGGTATTATATTAAGATTTGAATACGAAATAATTAAGAATGTTTGTTTCTCTACGTCTGAATGTATATAATTTTTTCTTTATTTAAACATTAATAAATATAAATTCAATCAAATGATAATAATTAATTTAATATTATATTAGCAAAATATATTTTAAAATTATATGGTGGTTGGTGGTGGTGATAGCTAAAGATGGTGATTGTGGGTGCTGACTAAGGAGTAGTTGGTGTTGGTGTTGGTTGAGGTAGTGATTATAGGTAGTAAATGGTGGATGACAGTAGTAGTTAACAATGATGATTGATGGCGGTGATGACTAATAACTGCGATGGATGAATATAGTGGTGGCTGATAGTGGTGATCGATGGTTGTTGTGATAATCGTGATTGATAGTGATGGTTGTAAATGATGGCTAGCGATGGTGACAACTGACATTCGTGTTTGACAGCAACAGTGGTTGTGACTGAGGATTGGTAGTCATGGGTGATAGCTTATAGTGATGGTAATCTATAATGGTGGGGAACTACGATAGCATTGGTGGTGGTGGTTAGTAGTGAAATTGTAGGAATTATGGTGAAATGTCATTTTTTACAATTTTTTTTGAATATATAACATCTTAATGATATTACAATTATATTATAGATCTTAATTATTAATATATATTTAGACCTATTAAATAGTTATAAAATTTAAAAACAAACAGACTTAATGGTTAAGATCTGAGATATAACATTCAGATCTAAAACATAAATGCACTTAATAATTGAGAGATCCGAATAATTAAGATTCTAGAACGTAACAACTAAATTGATGTCGTGGGATTGTTACTACGTTATTTTGATTTTTTATTTTGTCCTTACATTATTTTCATTTTATTCTTTACACTATTTTTCTTTTAACTTTACCATTTATCGTATTTTATCATCATCACATTTTTAGCCCCTCCTTTCAGTAACTACTCATTTTTGCCACAACACAAGTACTGCTTCTCGTCACTTTCTTGTAGTAGTCGACGGGTCGTCCTTTTCTTTTTCTTTTGAATTGTTCTATATTACTATATTTTTACGGTAATTCTTCATAAGTACTACTCCTTCCTTGCCACTATTTAGATACTCCTCTTTGTGACTTATTTTCCTTACCAAATAGTAAAGAAAATATTTTTCAAAATTCTTTTTCAATCCTCTCCATTTTATTTCTCACCCCACTCCCCATTCTCCACCCTCACGCCACCCCCACCCACCACACCACACCCTTATCTCCCACTCCTACCCTCACCCCACCCCCTATTCCTCTTCCCCTTACCCATTTCGTCTCCAATAGTTTTTGTTTAAATTATATAGTTTTCAAAATAAAATATTTTCTACTCACTAATCAAATACTAAAAAATATTTTTCAAAAAATCTTTCCGTTCATCAACCAATTATAAAAAAAATAAGTGATAAAATTAATTATTTTTCAGGAAAATATTTTTCAAGTATTTTCTTTTATACCAAATACACCCTAAATCAACCAAACAAAAGATTTTTCTTGACCCCATTTTGATTTTTAAAGTTCCTTTGATATATCAACTAATAAAACAACAAAGAATTAGGTAAACCTATCTCATCACTGTCTTATTGTATAAGGTAAAATCGATTTATATTAAATGATTGTATGATTGCGTGACACGTAAAACCGGAGACAGATGGAAGATGAAGCGAGTAAAAACTAGATTCGGGGATAACAGCTTCGGTTGGCACCGGGAAGATTCCAAAGGGAACACAATCAACAGAAGCAAATGAATATTTTCACCGGATGACGTTTAATGAAAAATATTCCTCTGTATTAAATAACACAGTCGTTGACATAATTTTGGCATTCATGTTCTGCTGTTATATATTCATCAATGACCCCCATTATTGTCATTTAAGAGAGGCTTGATCCTAGGACTTTGTTCCCTAGGTATAGTTATAAATATTGGCTTCAACAACCATTGTAACACACAAAAATTCTGACAAACTTATGTTACACACTATTCCAAGCTGAATAATACTTTATTTTCTATCTAACACTATTCTTATTGCTGCCTTCGAAAGCCTTGCTCCCGGAACCAAGCTATCTGCTATTTTATCTCGATTTCAACACTAAGTCTGGTATTTTATTTAATTGATTTATTATTTTGGGATCAAATCGATTCACTTATCTATAAATCACGTTATATATTCAGCTGTACCGTTTTACGAGTAAACACTTTTATACTTGTAAGTTTTATTGGATTTCATAAACCACTTTTGAATAAACATTTAGTTAATTTAGGAAGTTATCAATGATGAGTACTTTCTAGATTTATGAGATTTGTGTAAAAATTCTTCAAGATGCTCAATCAATATGAACACTTGGGCTGCACTAGCCCTTGGTTTTTAAAGAAAATGGAGAAATACTTAGCTTGGAGATGTTCAGTTTTTCTATTTTTACCTCTGAGCATAATATATTCAATTGTCCTAGCAATAATCAACTTATCTGAAATTAGTTGTCAATATTATTTTTGAAGTTATTGTGGTTCATTGTAATTAGCTAGATTTAATCCCACAATCACCTATATTTGTCAAGTGCGCTTCCCCAATTAAACTTATCTCTCTCTTCCATTTTTATAAATCCTTTCAAGAAAGAATGACACTGTAATACTCCGTAAATTCGGACTAGGTATGGATATGTTAAATAATTAATGTAATATTTTAGACATATGAAGTCCTATCGGGATGAGTATGGGTGAAAATAGTTATTTTGAAATCAAGACGAAGAGTGAGGTGCATAAGATTCGATAAAATCGACTAAGTTTATGGAAAGTCTATTTTCTAGCGGGATTTCGTGAAATTATGTTAATAATTTGAGAAAATATAAAACATGTAAGTTGTATCCCTTTGAAATACCTTTCCAATGATATATTATATAGCCCAAACGGACCTCTGTGCAAAACTTTATACATATTTTACTGGACAATGCGCAGTCTGCACACTCATGTGCGTGCCCAGCTGTTCTCGTGCGCAGCCGCGCACTTAAGGTAGTGCCACTGCCTTTGATGCATGCTAAGGTATGCGGTTGGGACTTCAGCTGTATGAGGCCGCACCCGGAAAGCCATTTTATAAGCCATACTTCGTCCCCCACACCCAAAATTACAAAAACTTGTTCTAGAAAGGGGAGCTCTCAAGAACCCAACTTTCTCCAAGGTCCCTCCATCATCCAAGGTAGGTTCTATTGGTGATTCTAAGTTAATTTCAATTCTCCAACACCTTATTAACATGGGTAAAACCTTCAAATCATTAGATATTCAGTCGAGACATCATGGTTGAGAAAAGAAACTTTAGAACTCGAATTCAAGAGGATTGACCGTCAAAAGGTAATATCTTCACCCTCTAATTGATTATAGCATTGGACCAATGATTATAGACTCTAAGTTCATGATATATGAGTTTATGGGTTTGATAGAAAAGCATGAATGATTATAGGTTTGGAATGTTGATTGTTGATTATTGATTAAGGGTGTTGTTTATCTTATGGGTGATGAAGAATGATATTGATTATAAGAAATTTGAGATTTTAGAATTTATCTAGGAGTAAGAGAATGGGTTGTTAGATGTAAAAACACCATTAATGAGGGCTATAAATCTTTATGTCCACCAAGTATTTGATAAAATGCCTAAGTGACCAAAATATGAGTATTATTGCTAATATGGAATCCCTTTGACTTGTATTGCTATAGATTAAAGTTGAAAGGGTTTGGTGAACGATGTATTACGTACAAGACCAGGAAGTTAATGTATGTGAGGCTAACTCTCTATGTTTTGGAATGTTAATGATTCTCCCTACACTACGTTTCTTTTACGACGTTACTAATTGTCTCAGAAATATAGTTAAGCCTAGTTTCTTGAATAGTTGCAGAACTTCTATTCTCTAGCTTCGTAACTCGTTCATGACTTTTATTCTCAACGTTGTGAGCTTAGTTCATAATTAATATAGACTTGGGTTTGATGCCCATGAGTCTCAGTCTAGATTACTCAACATGTCATAAACAGTTGAAGTTTCAGTTTGTCATAATCAGTTCATGAATACATGTCTCAGTCTAGTACTATTCAGTATTCCAGTATCATGTAACTCAATATGATTCAGTATTTCAGCATCACATATTACAGTATGATTCTCAGTTCCTGAATTTAAATTCCTGAATATTAAACACTTGTATTTGGGCCTGAGGCCATAGTTTATTCTTTATGCATGTTTGGGTCTGAGGCCATAGTTTATGATTTATGCATGTTTGAGCCTGAGACCGTAGTTTATGATTTATACATGTTTGGGCCTGAGGCCTTAGTTTATGCTTTATGCATTTTTGGGCCCGAGGCCGTAGTTATATATACATATATTTGGGCCTGAGGCCGTAGCTTGTGCACATATATATATTGGGCCCGAGATCATAGTTTATTCAGATAAACAAGTGGTTCATCATTTAGAAGAGGAAGTATTCAATTCCTTACTTCCTTTGTTCAGTTATCAGTTATCATTTCAGTTATCAATTATCAGTTATCATTTCAGTTTTAGTTTCAACAGTTATCATTT